ATTTTCAGCTAATTAGTGGAGCATCAGAACCCAGCCCACTCGCAAGGCTCTCACTACTCAGCAATCACCCATGATTGGGGCGCTTGACTGTTCCCCTTTTCACGGATTGACTGCGTCCGTGTCGTGGACTTCAATCCCCGTGGTTGCCTCCCTCTCCCTCATTCGCTGTCTCTTTCCCTCTCTGTCTCGTTCCTCTTCACATTCTCACTGGTTGGCATGCCTTCGCGGTTTCCTCTCTCTCTCCGCCCTCTCTTCACACTTCCCTTACCTCTCTTGAAAGTTGAAAGTCGCCAACTGCGTGAAACTCCAGCATGCTTCCCTTGACCAACACTGAACCAGCGCCTCACAAACAGGTACGACCCACCACCATCTCCGCTGCAGTCTCCTGGTCCGTTGTTCTGAGACACTCGCTCGCTGCGTGCTCTGCAGCCGCTTGCCCACTGCACACCGTTCCCTCTGTTCGCCATACTCCTCAACCGGGTCATTCCAATCCCGGGTCGAAGGGCTTGTGTGGACTGCGTACGCCAGGCACACAGTCCAGTCCGCGCTGCTCCTCCATGCTAGCTTCTCTTCCCTTCCCCGTGGGCGGCGTACGCCATGCGCGCGGTCCCCTCCCAAAGTCAGAACCCTTGCTTGTATAGATGCCAGCAGGCTGCTTCCTTGAGCCACCAGCTGGACGGGTACTCGGGTGGGCAGGCCCATGCCCGAAAAGAAACGAGTAAAGCTGCTGGCCCGGTACCAGCAACTGCCCCGGTACCACTTGTTGGCCTGGGCTATAGATTTGGGCCCGGTGAACAGGCCTTTGGTCCGGTACCAATGGGACCAACAACAGGCCCAACAACGGCTCTTGTGGCGCAGATCCAGGCCTGGCACAGTTGCCATATCGGCAGCAATCGAGCCGGATTAGTAAACCGTACCTGCGCCGAACCTGAAATTAAATGCTAGCTTGCAGCGCCGATCCCAGAACTGCGCCAACTCGTACCACCATCCGTTTCATACCAGTGTCGAACCTGAAATGATCATCCGGAGTCGACGGAACCCATGCCGTGCCAATGCTGAACCAAATCAGAACCTGAAATATGTCGAGTGACGTACCATGCCGCAGCGTCATGATAGTTCCGAACCTGTCCCAAACCAGTAGTTAATTCACAGGCGTGGACCACATTGATGTCAGCCCAATGTCGTGCCTGAAATTTATCAAATACCGTAGGATGTCGGAATTCCGTAATAGTACCAAACCTCCCGAACCATACCTCCAACCCGAAGCGGCGATCACACCGACGCAAAGGAGCCGTGGGGCCCAATCAAGCAACACAGCGGTAAAACCACGCCGTCCATCACTCATATCACACAGACTGCTGTGAGAGTAGAAATCAGGAAAATCGGGTAAGTCACACAAGCAAATCTCAATCGTTAGAAAATGAGAGAACCGTCGGAAGATGAATAGATAAATAACCCGGGGTCAAAATTAATCGCGAACAATTAATTTAAAAATTAGTGAAATATTAAATAATCGTTGGTTCCTTCGCCCCTTTTATTATTTTAATTATTTTTTTTTTTTCTTAATTTTATATCATAAATAATAAAATTAAAACGATTTTCATCAAAAATGGTTCCCGGCGAAATTCAATAAAACATCAAAATCCCTTGTTTTCTCTTTTATTTTTATTGCTTCTGATCCCTTTTCTTGTTTTTAATTCTATTGCCGGAAACACCAAATAATGAGGGTGATTCCATTAAAATTAAATACCAAGCAAATTATAAAAAAAAAGAATATCCATTTTTTTTCTTTTTTTTTCTATTGTTTTTAATTCTTTTTCCCAT